ACACCCAGTTTTCTTCACGATCTTTTAAACACACCTAATCTTATCTTAAATAGTTTTGAGAAATATCAGTTTTGTCTAAATTGTCCAAGTTGTCTGACTGTGCATTGTGCAGCCGTGTGTGACTTTCTCCATGTTTAGGAGTTTCTATTAAGTGTGCTAAATGTAAAATGCTGCCTAAAAGTTTAGGCGAGTCAAGTTATGGCTAACGTACGCCTGCAAAACAACAACATTAAATTGCACTTGCAACACTGTTTAACACTGCAGTGATTCAGCTGGGGAGCTCTATAAAGCTGAAATTACTAAGTTAGTAAGGTGTCAGGAATCTATCAGCTAATTACAAAAAAATCTGTATGTTTATTAAGGTAAAACCAAATATTGCTTTAATGGCCAAGAGAAACAGCCCTGTGGCTTGTGGCTCCAGAGCACAGACTAAACATCTAATGATGTGTGTGCATTACTAAAGCTCCCACCTGATTGCTTGTCTTAACACTTTGTAAACAGTCTGATAATATCTTTGGCCTAATATCTGTCCCTCTGCATGCATTACTGGGATCCTGGACTGATTAAATACCCTAGCATTTTAATTGAAAACAGAAAGTAAAGAAAAGTAACTTTTGGTTGGAAATTTCCTGTTTGACAGCAAGAAACTGAGAGAATTGTGTTGTTCTCGGAGGCTATTTGTGTTTGACATTAGCAGGCACGCACAATGCATTAAGCCAGGAATGTAAGTAATGTGCGCTTAGACATACGGCCCTAACTACACCGCGTCGACAGCATTGTTTAATGCGCAGCAATAACTCTGTTAGCCTGTTACTTCTCATTGCTTCTCTTTCTCTCCTCCTCTTTGTCACTCTGTGTGTACATTTCTTAAATGGTGCACTATAGGGTGAAAGAGAAAAGATGAGAGAAGACACTGGAAGTCTCTTCAGAGCTATTAGCTTTGTACCATTCTGTCTCCCCCCCCCCTAGCCCTGTTGAAGCAAGATACTAAAAATATTACAGGAACATTTGATATGATGCAGTGCTACTGGACAACTTTTATTCTTGCCTTAAAAATATGTTGCCGTGTTGTGATTCAAGAGGGGAGCTGAACTCTATCAGTGTAAATGCAGACTTGGCCTCCATAGAGGACCCGCATCCTGGGTGAATGACTGCAAGAGCTGCTATATGGCAGGATGAAGTGTGTTCATTTCCTTATTTATTGACTCACTTGCTTTTCTCTGAGTGTTTGAAATTAATAACAGCCAGCAGAAATCAGACAGAGGGATGAAAATCAGCACTTTCCCTGCAGTGAAGCCATTCATCAAGCTAACGAGGGGGAGAATAGAAGTGGAGAGGGGGGGGGAGGGAGAGTAGTGACGTTTGGAGAGGGAACAGAAAGCGGGAGGGAAGCAGGTGCAGTGTGAGGTGAAGGGAGGGAGGGAGGGAAAGTGACGCTGGGAACAGAGGGGAGGGGAAGGAAGCTAAGTTTGTTTGGGAGGAGAGTCATTTGGAGGATAGCGGGGCAGACAGAAGAGGAGGAGCTGTGTGCCACTCTATAAAGAGGAGTAGCGATAGAAAGAAGGGCAGGTTTGACATTGGAATATAAATAGAGAGGGAAGAGAGAAACAGTACGCAGGCAGGATTTCCAGAGATCAAGTCAAGAACCACCAAGTCATAACTTGAATCTGATGATGATGTGTTGATATATTTTAAAGTCCATGCCACTGCTAGTTGATAAAGAGCGAAGCCGCTGGCTTTATGGAGCTTTATAACAGCTCTTGCTCAGTGTCTGGGTTCTTCAGGACTCTGCAAGAGGCATCAAGAACCTAGCAAAACAACACAGCGATGATATTTCCCATAACACTTTTAACAGTACAGAATAAGGAGTATACTAAACAGAACTCTTTTTCAGTGTCCCCAACTTTCATATATCATCTCTCTTCCTTTCACTGATGGGTGATGATGGGCCCACCCTCACTTTAAAGGCTTCACCTTGTGATGGCTTTGGTCCCACGCTGCTCTGCCTCCCTACAGTCCACTAGAGACTCAACAGTATCTCACACCCAGAGTAGGGCTGACTAAGCACTTACCAGTGAGTCTCTCTTCTCAGAGTGAGAAAGGAGCGCCATGCTGAGAACTCTGCCACAGGAAAATAATTAGCAAAGTGGAGCTCTGCCCAAACACACGAGGCTAAATCTAGTAGCACTTCACAGTCAAATGAAACTATAAATCTCAATTCTTTTTCTTCTGTTTTTGCTTATTTGTTTGCCCCCCTAACACCCACCCACACACACACACATATTTTTTTAGGATACATAATTTTCACAATTACAATTAAAATCTTTGTTTCATGATAACTTTTAATAGCATGAATTTAATCAGGGGTACTAAAACTTAGTTCAATCTCATACAGTCTTTTAATGAAAACGCATATATTGGAAGCTGCACATTGCTTTGCACTCGTTCTTCGCGAGGCATCTGAGTCACTTCAAGCTGACAAATTTGTGATAGGTGCCTTGTGATGACGCAAACTGTGTCCATCTCACTGTACATGGATATATGTATTTTTAACTTTAAAGTTAGACCACAGTGTCTTTGGTCACCAAGGCTAAATATAGTCACCTCCTCCTGAACAGTCTCCAGTTTCTCATTCCTTTCCAAGAGGCAGGTGGAGCAAATAGAAGGGGGGGAAGGTGGGATAGCACCCAGTCTTGAATAAATCATCCCACAACTTTTGACCCATATGGAGGAGGTTGTTTTTATACTTCACACTTCCCCCCTTTCTCTCCATGGCCTCTGCACCCCTCTGTCCCATTCATTTTCTCCCCCACATGACAGGTTAATCTGGATCGATTTCATCTGCCCTCAACGACTGAGACCAACATCCTGGCACCCAGAAATAGAGCACACTGTGACGGATTCGCCTCCTACTAACCATTACCGTTAACAAGCAACTCTAAGAAGGGGTGGGCAAGAGAAGATGTTTTGGGAAGTTTAAAAACAACATAATTTACTGCACAGAGGAAAAACACCGATGTGAAGAAACGAAAGACACTTGTTAAGATGGGAAATTGAACAGTGCGATGAGCTGTGGTATGTGGGTGATGCTGCTTCAGTAGGTTTCACCCAAACCACGTTGTCATACAATGGTCACATGACTGTATGCTGTATCTTTATGTGAGCACAAACACTCCAAACACTCACACACACACACACACACACAGACCTTTTTCCCCCAATCTATATTTGCACTCCACTTTCTCACAGCCTCTTACACTGCATATACACACACCTGGCATTTTATCTTTGTCAGCATATTCTGGGTCCTTCAGCTCCCTACTGGGCTCTGAACTCCAGTGTCTCTTTGCATGGCAATCCCCTGAGCTGTGCCTACCTTTACAACACACAGGAAAAGCACACTGGCAGGTAGTTTTATACCAATGTTAACCTCTATTTACAGTATCTTCATACCAGCTCTGCATCTTGTGGCGTAAATACATTTGTGCCTGGGAAAATCTTTTTCTTCTAGGATTAGTTAGGTAGAGGCGCAGTGACATAGTGTCCTGGTGGCAGTCCAGGCTCGAGTCAGGACACTGTTTCCCCAGGCAAGGACACCAAGACCTGGCTCTCCGTCTCCATCACTCAGCTTGTCCTCCTGGAGCTACGTGGCCAGACTGCTCATCACCCCAACCCCCCCACCCCATTCTTCATATGCATGGATTTGCATAAAACAAAGACATGGCTCTGCCTGGAATGTCTGCCATGGTTGAAACTGCTAAGAACGGGATCGACCAGACCACACCGCACGCAGCACCTCTAAGTTCAGCTGGCAGGTTGTCAGAGCACAACATCAGCATAGCGCATGGCAGGAGAACCGAGATTTACGAGGCCGCGTAAGATAGACACCCTCATGGTTTTCCACTTTAATTCGTTTAACATCCGTTCCCATGGCATTGTTTATATTCGACACCCCTTAGCAGTGAGCAGAGGGCACCTAATTCACAGTGATGACGTGGGAGGAGAATCAGAGCACTTAAAACACTTCATCTAAAGATGATTTGTCCTTGTCTTCCCTGATGGCTTTTGTCCTGCTTCCCCTCCTGAAGTTAAGTGGATCTGGCGAAAGGCCAGCTACTGATCCCGCTCCCCACTTAGAGACAATCAGGTAAATAACAGCAGATACAAATACATGTACACAAGCACACACGCACACGCTTACAGTATATTCTTCTTTACGTTGGTGGAAAAAGTTAGAATGCAAGTGCTCTTTCATTCTTATGTGTCATGATGAAGCACATTGCAGCTGTTTGCTTTGGAACAATCAGTGAAACCATTAAAGGAACATTTGGGTTTGCAATATAAATTCTCCCAGGTTGCCCTTTGTCTCTGCAAATTGATATCAAGACTCAAATCTTATTCTTCACTCTTTGTCACTGGTGCAAAACACGAACATATAATTTGCATTTGAATAAGTGGCTCTAATCTGCTGGTTGTCCTGATCGGGGATGAAGGATGTTGCCCTAGACTCAACACTTCACGTGTCGTGTGATTTTTCTTCTCCATGGATAAAATAAGGTATGATAATGGATACGATATCAAGGAACGTTATTGCATCAGGGAGATAGATGTGATAGAGAGATATTGCCAACATTAAGAAGGTGTGTGCTCTTTAGCATATACAATGCATTATGTATCCATTATAAAAAGCTTACAGACATGCATTATGTTTTAAAACATTCAGTAGCATATGTGGTGACTATTTTCTCCGTTTAATATGACTGCCTGATATTAATGAATAGTTAATATGGATTTAATTGTGTAGTGCTATAAATGAAAACTGCATACCACAAATAATACTTGTATAATATAGAATAACACAGCTATGTTTGGTAGCATGTGCAAAGCTGTGGTATTTTTCTAAAGAAGGAATATTTTGTAAACTCAACAAATCTGATATTGCTCACTATTGTTAAGCAGAAAATGTAAAAAAGAAAAGGCCAAAGTTATCAGACATTTACCTCAAGAATCCTCAAGGGCACGGAGGGATGGTGCTTGAAATCACAGATGGAGAAATTTTCTTGATGACCTGAAGAAGCAGAAAAGATTGGACAAACAGATCAGATAAATTAATATCAGCGTAAATATGCTTGGTGTCACCTTTACACCCTCTTCCCTTCTGTCTGCATCAGACACAGATACACACAAGAAGGCCCACACAAACAATCACAAAGAAACAAGCAGACTCATTCTGAGCAAGATTCACTCTCACCTTGTCTCTTTGGTGAAATACACTACATGTATCATAGTAAATGTTTGATGCTGGGGGAATTGTAAAAATTTACATGCAAATAGATTCTACAGGCGGAACCCATGCATCAAAACACAAGAGACAAAACTAAAATATCTAAGCGTACGTACGGCGTGCCATCACACAGACAAGGCAAAATAGATTTTTTTTTTCCTTTTTTTTTTGTCAAGGCATTTATTTCTGTTCATCTCATTCAGTTGAATAATGAATTGTTCTAACAGAGGAGGAATTGTGGCAAATAAAAAAAGAGAGGGATAAAGTCTTGTTTCCTTGCTACCTTGTGACCGAAACTTTCAGAAGTACCCTGGCAAAACATACAAAAGTGGGCATGTTGCTTTAGGCGGGTCCAAATACAGTTCATATCCCCTATAAATGTTGCTGCACAAGTAAAAACATTAGCTCAGCTCTTAGCTCCCTCTGCAGATTCCAAGCCGGGCCGGTTTAAAGTTCCTGGAAAATAACAGCGGTGGAAGTAATTTGCCTGTACGCTACTGTGAGGGAAATTTTAAATCATTGGATTTTCAAATAAATGCCGCATAGAACCGGCACAAAAGCAGTGAGGCAGCTGTTGTGATGACAGATGTTAAGAAAAAAACCAAAAAAACCAAAAGGCTCCTAATGGTGCTAAACTGTGATCAGCAGCCAATCAGCTGACAAATCATATCATCTGCTAGATATAGCAGGATATTATCTTTTTCATGTCTTAGGTTTGCTTTATTTCACCTGTCATTCAAGGTGAAAGTACTGAAAGTGTAAAAATACATATTCTGAGATATGACTTAGACTTACCTAAACAACAAAATTGCACTTACATCTATGCTCCATGTGTATCGCTCTGCATGCAGCTCCTTATTTCATACTGATCTGCTTTAAAAGTTACACCTGAGGAACCAAATGAATGGACTTAAATGTGTAGAAAACAAAAATATTTGTGGAGCGCAGAGGGATTTCGCTCATGTAGCTAGATTTTTAGTGGGAGAAATTTCACAAACATATGCCCGTTTGAAAGACTGTGTGTCTCACTTTTTCTTTTACTCTGTTACCTCTTGCTTTAGCTCTGCTGCATTTATTTAAGTCACAGGCTCTTGGTTTGGGTCCATTTACAGACATATAAAATTACTCCAGCAAATCCCTACCACCTCATTACCAACATAACCTGCAGCCAGTCTTTCAAGGACGACTCTCTAATGACACCACATGTATCAGCTTAATGTCTATTTGAAGCAAGCTTTCTGCCACAAAAGAAAGAAAGAAAGAAATGTACAGACATCATCGACAGCAAAGTGTAAAGTGTAAGTATTGATGCCTGGCATTTATTTATTCCCAGTGAACTGCACTATTGCACCATTCCTCTCTTATACGATTGTACTATTCCTCTCTTCTACCCTACGAATGTGAGAATAATGTTCCTTTTTTTGTTTCTGTACTTAGACAGACCATTCACAGATGTGGCTGCCACCTGGTTGTGTTGAGACACATGACTGCCACTGCTGCTGCACATCCTCTCTCCAATCTTCTGTCGACAGTGGTTTTTATCCACAACCAAACTCATATAAAACATTTTCTAACTGTTGAAAATGAAAATAGTAAAAATTAAAAACAGAGGCAAATTTCATGCAAAGGTAGGACGAACAAATGTGAAAATGCAAAGGAAAAAAAAGAAACAGATCTTATTCCATTTATTTTGGATTCATCATCACACTAAGACAGATTAGAAAAATATGTTTTAAAAAAACACAGTTGAAACTTGGCTCTTTTGATATTTACTGAGTCTTTATTAACCCCAGTTGTGTAAAATGTGACAGAAAGCCACAGCTTAACACACCCACTCTGAGTCAGTTGATATTTAAGACAGGAACAATGAATTTACCCCATGTACGACTGGCTGCTTTGTTTTGCAACACCCACAATGAAATGGTTGAATGAAGTGGGTGTGAGAACAAGAATAAATGTTCACCATGTGTGCCACAAATACTACCAGACTCAGAGTAAATAAATAAATAAATAAATGAATACATGAAAATAATCAGAATGAATGGCAGCGTGAAAATAAACCTGGCCAGCTTAAGCCAAGTGCCACTGCCCATCACAGCATATTTAATAGACACTTTTCCTGCACCCTGTATTTAAACTCCTTTTGTATGTGTGCTATTATAGTATAGTATTATTATATCATTTTTTCACAGTCAAAAATATATTATTTGTTTTCTTGCAATTCAAAAAATGTAAAGACCGGAGTGAAATATAGGATGTTAATAATTAAAATATATATATATATATATAGCAGGGAGTTGTGCTGAATTTACTGGATACTATGCCATGTCGGATGTGTGTGTACATCTCATTCATTGGGTTCTGGGCAGAGGAAATGAGCATGAGTTCCCCAGGGCAGGGATTACTCTAATGACTTTGAGAGCAGCCTTGTGCGCTGTAACTTTTGACCTCTGCTCATCCTCTTTGACAAAAAACACAACAAGAAGAAATACACATGCATGCACACACACGGATTCATGCATCTACACCTACAAACACATACATGACATACCGTGCGAAACAGCAAGACAAAAAGATTTGCTCCAATTGTTCCTCTGGCACTTTCTAAAGCCTGTAAGAATTCAAACCCCCAACCGGCTCTTATTTTTGGTTCTGTCGACTGGGGTACTGGTACTTAACTGAACATTGTGCTGCATCTTATGCTGTCAACCTGCATAGCGCCAGCGTTCCACATGAGTGTCTCGCTGGAAGATCGATCATTTTATCACTTACATAACCGCTGCGTACGGGCACCACAGATATAAGAGGAAACATCTTTTTACAAATTAGATCTGTCTTCGCAAAAAAATGCCATTTAGCTCGGGGACTCGAGTGTTTGAGTCACACACAGAGAGAAGCACAAGTAACACTATGGTCTGAAACAAAAGAATGGAGCAAATCTATCCTTTTGTTTTCGTATTGTAAGTTGGTGAGTGTGTTTTCATGTTTAGTATGCGTGCGGTGACTGTGTTTTAGTGGATGGACATTAGAGGTCTAAATGATCTGTTCCAATGAGGAAACAGTCGAACTAAATAAGTTTAAGAGTCTTATAAAGAAGCCCCTAGCAAAAAACAAATGTTCATTTTTTATATGCCACTCAAAACACATCAAAAAAACCCCACTGCACTGAAAGCATGGTTTAAAGAGAGGCAGAAAAGAAGAGACTCTTAAGCAAAGAGGAAATTATTTCCTCTTTGAAATGGCAAATACAAAAACATGTCTTTTAAATGAGGGGAAAAGCAAATGATTATCCTCTCTAAAGTCATTTCATACATTGTTGTGGTTAATGTGACATATCAGACTATAACGGTACTACTGCTTTAGATGTAATTAGATAAATTGAGGAAGAAGGAGAACGGCTTGGCTGTAAATTGCATGGTGTGTACATGCTAAGACCCAACACTGGCACAGCTGCACAGAGCTACACTCACGATTTATCATCTTTACATCGCAGGAGCCACTGGCCCACACCACTATTAATCATCAGCAAAATCATTTAATTCAGCCCAAGCCTGACTATTGTCTCAGCTTCTCCCCTCACTCTGGGCAAATCAGCCACCACAGCAGCAGTGCACACCTCAGATCTTGGGTTAAAACTGTCTTTCTCCCTCTCTCTCCTTTTTGATGAGCTGTGTAGCACATCATCATTGGCAGATGGCGCAGAAGCTTGCTTTTTTGCAAATTTAACAAGTATGAAATTTATAATGGCAAAGACTACGAACAGTTGAGCACTTACTGCTTTAACACACTGACAGTGCGGTTCATTTTTATGAAACCCATTTTTTTGTCTGTATCCGTTGGACACTGATAATCTGTGGCTAAACTGCAAAACAGAAGACAAATCCAGATTGAATCTGTCTTCAGAAACTGTAGCGTTTCCTCAAAGTGTATTTTGGCACGTTGGTCTTCCTGTTTCAACAAACAAATTGTTCCGAATGCCTACAAGCCTATTCCTTGTGAACTCAGCAAAGAACTTTTCGTCTTGTCTTTCTGGAAAGTGGCGAGTTTAGTTCGTGTCCAAGTGCAGTCCAAAAGTTATGTTAAAAAGAAAATCAGCGTATGATGTAAAAACACCAAATGAAATGCAAGATTGGGTACAGCAGAGCAGAGACTCTTCTGCTAACCACAGTGGCTGACATAAATTGGCACCTTCTCCAGCGCCCCCTCACATGCCTGACATGGCTGTGCCCTCCGTGCGCCCCGTCTCCCACAGCATGTTTGCTTCAGGCCAACGTCCAGACCCACTGACAAAAAGGATAGAGCTGGATGAAACTGAGAAAGCCAAACGATGACATGCTAATGACTGTAAGTGCAGAGTGTCCGAGAAACACGGTAAGCGGGCACAACAGATAAGTAAGCAAAGAATGTGTAAAAAGGGTAAGTGAAGGGTACAAATATGGAGCATGCATCATGCACAGCCACAAGAAACTCACAGCGTTGTCATTATTGCATACTGCCACTCAAGGAAACACACACACACATTCAGATTTACACCTAAGTCCAAATACACGCTTGCATACTCCCACATGAAGCAGCACTTAAGACAAGCACACACATATGCACAAATAGAAAGGCTCACACATGACCAGACTGTTCATAATGTTAACATGATTTATCAGACATAAAATCAAATTGGACTTCTGCAAATAAAAATGAGGATGAAGTTCATGAACTGAGATGCAAACACCATATTTCTAACACACCATTTTTTGCTTATAATGATAGAATCACGTTGGAGTCAGCAGGTAAGGTCTGTTTCTCCTTTTTAGGATCATCATCATAGGAAATAATAAATACATATATTTTTATTTGGTGTTAATTCATGGATTGTGAAGAAACATGCGTCTCTATCATTCAACAGACTGTCAAAGCAGAAATGTTTAATTAGCTGCACGCCACTGTGAGTTATTGTTATTATTATTAGGCTTCATTAAGTTATTGCAACAATGGACTTGCATCTCTGCATTTTACAATTTTTTTTACACTGCCAGCCTGAATTGCTTTGCTTAAATGTTCAACTCATTCCTGTTTCTGATTCTTCCAAAATGGTCTAAGAAGCTCTTACTAAATTAATTCTGGCAGAAACGCCTTAAAAAGAGGGTAACAAGACCCCTATAAGCAGTGTTAAAATGTGGGGCAGTAATATGGAGATGACATGTTTTCTAGTTTCATTTCTGTGTGTTTCACTCACAAACAACAAAGAGTCTCAGGACAACTCAAAAGAAAAGTGAGAAACTTATTGAAGACAATTACATACATTTATTGCATATCATTTAATTGTATGAAATGAGAAACGAGCACATATGAACATCACATATGGTTAGTGAATGAAATAATTTTGCACAGCAAAATATATATATATATATGTATATATATACTATATGTAAGATGAAAGATTAATTAACATATTTTCAAAATTTATTGGCGAATGGTACTCCCCCCTTTTATACATGCAGGGTGACACTCCCTGACGATCTAATAATGTCCGGACATTATAGATTAGAATAATTACTTATTGCTTTGCAAATGTTTACGTTTATTTAAGAGAAAACAACAGTATACCCTGAACTGATGCTAATATCTCCAAATGGTACGACTAAGTCGTAAACGAATGTCAGATCTATCTTCTTGGGAGATGGAAAGCTAATTTTCCACATGACATTTTTTTAGTGCATTTCTGTTCAGAATAAGTCAGTTCAATCAAGAAACACATTTTCAAAAGCACAGTAATTTACTTAGACTCCGGTTGTGAGAATTGTCTTCTCCAAATATACTTTTTCTTAATATAGTTATTTAAAATATAATAATAAAATGTGTGTCGGACACCAGATCTCTCACACTTCGGTTTATAGCACATGCTGCAAAAGCGCTGTTTTATGCACTGCACAATACTACTCACTGTATAAATTGGAGCCGAGCCAATTTCTCTTAATCAGTGTTAAAAATAGTTTTGGGCAGCAATCTTATTATTAATTATCCTAGAAATCTATATGACATAAGCTGTAGCACATGATATCTTTTGCATCATAGATTATAAAACTTTGTCTTTAAATTACGCTTTAAAAATTATTCAAATGATGACAAATGCACAATGGAATATATTTAAATAACAACATAGGCTTAGCAACAGACTAAACTTCCAGGAAATTAACTGGTAATTTCCTTCATACTGAAGTCTTTTCTTTTTCCCCTCGCACCAGGGTCCCCGCCGACAAACTTCCACCAGGAATGCCAGCGCATTCACTGCAGTCTTATGACAGCCGATGGTGGTGCACTTCAACACAGCTGAAATGCACCACTACAGGGGGTGGGAAGTCCTGTCACTTTTTTGTCTCTGTCCCAAAAAAGTGAGGAGGCCTAAATGAAGTATGAGTGCCATGCTGGAGTCATCCGACAAAAAAGGACATCTTCAAGCATAGAAAGAAAAACCATACATGTCCAGCATGCAGGGCAGTTCAATAACACATCTCTTTAAAACAATGAAGAGTTTGTAATGGATACAGTCTTTTGTTGCTCCACACAATAACAAGCAAACGCATGAGATGAGGTGGCGTCAAACGGCAGGCTTGCAATCCTCCAAGTTTGGCAGACAAAAAAAAAAATAATAATAAAAAAGGAGAAAGAAAGAAAAAAAGGAAAAACATACTGTCGATGGATGCACTTTTGATAAGAATCTGTACACTGAATCAAAACTAAAATGATGAAAAAGGGCCAAGTTGATGAACTTCAAAGGAGTATACTTAGTGCTTGCATGCACACTTGGTATACTGCGGCATAAAGTTGGATCAACTTTCAAATATCAAACACTGCAAATCTAATGAACAGAGATGAAAAAAATCTTGACAGACAAACTATGTGTAATATACTGAGTATGATAGCAAAAAGTAAAAAGTTTTCTCAATACGCCTCTTCTAGATTAAAAAAAAATGCGGATGACAAAGCCCTCCAAATCTAAAGCAGTGGTAGAATGGAGGGAACTTGTTTTCAAAAAAATAAATGTAATAAAAAAATCAAAAAGTTGATAAATTAGTTCTTGATCTAGGCATATAGTGGGATTTGCGTCAAGTAAATAATAAAAAAAAGTTTCAGAATGAAAACTTTTTACGCGGGGTGAGTTATTCATCTGATATAGTTTTATTTCGCGATAATGTCGAAACTCACATGAAAAACTCCGGAGATGAAGGGTTGTTGTCACTGCTGGATCCATTTTCTCTGAAGCCGTTGCTGATGAGCTTCTCATACTTTTCTTTGTACGCGTCCCTCTCCCGGACCAGCCTGGAGATCTCTTGCTTTAGGTGCTCGACCTGCTGCAGGAGTTGTGTCTTCTCTCCCTCCAGGACGTGCCGCTGCTGAACTCGCTTGAACCGGCAGGACTGAGCGTAGCCTCTGTTCTTTAGGGTCCTCCTCTTCTGTTTCAATCTGATCACCTCTTCTTTGCTGACCCCCCGTAGCTGCCGGTTGAGCTCCCGCACTGACATGGTCACCAGCTGCTCGTCTGTGAACCGCTCCTCCAAGCGCATGTGTGGGTGATTTGTTCCAGAAGTGCCGTTGGACTGGACGCCCGGTGCCTGGTGGTGGCTGCTGCTGTGGTGGTGATGGTGGTGGTGGTGGTGTTGCGCTCCGTTCTGAGCGGCTGCCGCAGCAATTACTGCCGACACCACCGCCGCGGCGGACCCCATCTCTTCCCCGGCCATGGTGCTTCCCGCTCCGGCTGCACCAGCAAACTGCTGGCCCCTGGCATAGCCATCGAAAGACTGGAGCTGGTGACTGCTGTTGATCAGCGCCTCGACCGCGTCTTCGGGGCTGAAGCCCAGCGCCTCTGGATTCAGCTGCTGTTGATAACCGGACATCCAGTAGAAATCCTCAATGTGTGTCTTCTGCTCACTCCCCGAGCCCGGACTGGGCGCCGAGAAGCTTGGGGAAGGGGGCACCGAGCTGCAAGGCGTGCTCATCGGGGTGGAAGACAAGGATCCCCCGGCGATAAGGCGACTGCACTGGCTGATGTTGCGATCGGGCTCCACCGGCTCCTTTTTCACTTCAAACTTCATCAGATCGAAGTCATTAACATATTCCATGGCCAGGGGACTGGTGGGCAGGTCGGAGTTGCTCATTGCCAGCTCTGATGCCATCCTCTTGCTGCTGACAGTCCTCCAAACGGGGTGAAGAGCAGCTGTCAAACTGGGTTGGTTGGGAAGAACGTGAGCCAGTTTGATTTTTACGCGTTTGTCTTGAAACTGAAAAAAAAATTAGGTTTTCGGCGTCCTTTTTGCAGCCGCGGACTTGCAGGCGTGTGAGTAGAGTTTCTTTGCAGAGTCTATTGCACTGACACACCAGTGCCGCGCGTACGAGTAGCGGAGTCCTTTTTCAGCATGTGAAATTCGGCGGTTTTGGATTTCAAACATTTAACACTTTACGGTGTCTTCATGAATACATTGCGCACGCGGAGAGGGAAACACACCGAAAGTCAGGGAGTAAAAGCTCACTTGCACGTTCTAAGCCGCTGTCTGGTGGGGCGATTTTTTAGTGGGATCACACAGCAGATGAGTTTAAGCATTGTAGCCGCTCTGACGTCAGGCTGGAAATGGGAAATTGACTCGGACGACGAGCCAATAGGGTCGCACACTCTAACAGCTAATTAACATATTAGTAGCCCAGAGAAACAAAACTTTTATCTACCGTCAATGGACACCAGCTGACTGTCAGTCGGAGCATAGATCCCTTTGTTCTTTTTATCGTAATTTCGATTTCATTTTATTTATTCATTTATTTATTTATTTTTTCGAAGTATGAGTTGTAAGTGGAACGAAGCAGAGCATGCATGCTCTAAATGAATTACAAAACGGAGTTGTGATGCTTGACATATAGAAAAAAGAGAGAGAAAGCAATCATAAAACAGACCTTATATAGTTCGCGTAACCCTGTAGCATAAACTGGTTATACATTTTAAGACATAAGTCTTAATCTTGCGAACATTACCTGAAAAAAAAACGTCCACTTCCTAATGGCAATGTTTGATATTTGTCTGAATGTACAGCGCAATTAAAATCTAGAAACTATGTTTTATCAACTAAATATAAAACAAAAGTGGCATGTAAGAAGCTGCGCGGTAACTTGACAAAAAAAGAGGAAAAAAATATGAAAGGCGGACTGAAGAGGTTGTCATGTTTTCGCACAACATTATAAAACTCAACACTGCCACCTTTTGGGCACGCTAGTGAAAGGGATTTCCCTCCCCATCCAGTCCACACAATTTTCGAAGAGTTGAAAGTTGAATGAAACATATACTGTTTGCAAAACACAAACACATGTACACGGTCCGAGTGTCGTTGTTTTCTTAATTTCAGTAGGAAAAAGACACGGTACCCCGACTGAATATCAAACAACTTACATAACAAAGTCAATTTTGTGTTTTATGGAAGAAGTCATATCAGAGGAAGTGGATGTGAGTGAACCCGCTGCTCAGTGCAAACTGATATTCTGTGAAAGCCATAAAACTCACTTTATCTGAGTACATTGCTCTTTATCTCAGTTCAGAGGTCTCCTGCATTTAATTGACTTGTGTACAGCACTAACATGAGTCAGTCTTGGTAACCCAGCTTCCACTATAAGTCCTGTCTAGTTAGGTGGTTATAGTTTCTTTACCCCAGTGGACACAGCATGACTTTTTAAAGTCAGAATAAATAGTAAGGTTTGTATACAGTTTGTATACAGTGTATAGTTGAAGACTCCTATTAATGTATAGGCAAAATGCAATTAACTAATGACTAATAGCAGCTCACTTTAAAAAAATAAAGCAGTTTGTTAGGGAAAATAGTGATGTAAGCCACACTGTGGCCCTGTCTTACTGGCCACAAGAGTGTTGATTTCTTTTGTGGCCTATTTTGACATGGTGCTGACAAATAACCATTTCTTTCCTGTGACAAAAGCCTATAATCATAGCCTGTTTCCCACTCTCTCGCCAAGCGTATGATCTCATCTTTGCAATGATGTATATTTTTAGATTTTTGTATGCGTCCTATTTAATGATAGTTCAACTCAGTCATGTCCATTCTGCCAAAAGCTGTGGAAGATGATCTTGACAATAAACCAGATATGTTACAACCACAGGGAGTTCAACACTTGGCTATGGCTGCCCAAAACTATAGTTCAGGTTATGTCTTTATGTTTTGTTGACATAGCATTAGGCCGATTATTAAAGTATTCTGATTCTGATTTTCTATTGATTAAATGGGAGAAATACTAGTTATATATTATGAATTTGGTAACACAACAGACTTTCAAATATTTTATTACTTGTTGAATAAATTAGAATAAATGCAGAATAAAAGTTTTTTATAAGGCTGTGTTTTGTTTAAAAACATCATCATTACTGTTACTGAATGTTTTATTAAAGGGTAAGTGGATGTATCCATTTGTATGGTAATGGAATGCTACATATGGCTCAAATAAAATTCAAACAAAACCCTATTGTTTTTATTTCCATTCTGTTGCCTTGTCATCTGTTTGGGCTTACCTGTTCACAGGAAGGCACAGCAGCGGCCTGTTCCCTGGGGTGCGGCCACAGCGGACTGAGACTAATATACAAACGAAGGGAAAGCTCATTAGTCATGACAGAAGAAAGTGGCGAACCTAATTTAGCTGCTTTTGTGCCTTTGAAGTTATTGATGATGCAGAGCTGTGAGAGATCTACATGGAGAGAGATCAGTATATGCTGTGAAGACAACTTATCAAACCGGAAAGACAGAAGTTCATGGGATGAGATGGAACAGCAACGCGAGATTGACTTATAAAGATATGAAACCATCCAGCCTCATTAAATAGGTCACCTCATTTTTTCGCTCAGGCTTTTCAGCAATTTGAAAAAAAAAAACCTGGAGGATTTTTGAAACCACAGCAGCCACATGAAACTGAAGAGTGCAGCTTGTTAGAATGCTGTAGTCATTAATGTTCAATGTGTTCATTGGCTTTCCAAACTTAAGAATCGTGAGACACGACTTAAGAAGGCTATTTGTGTATATACTCACTTTGTGTGTCACCTATTTCACTCATTTCATTTAATTAACACACATTTTCATTTTGAGTTGCCACAAGGGATGAATCCACATATTTGATTTGGCATGGATTTTTGCCCTTCCTGGCATAACTCTCTCTGGGATTTGCGTCCCTTCCCACTCTTGAGCTGGGGATCTTTCACAGGTTAGGTGAATGTGTTAAACACTGAATTATGGATCCACTTACATGTTATCAATTCATTTGCTTTGACTATGTTAAATTTGCTAATCTAAAATGCATCATGTAAACCATCAGTTGTGATGCATTTAACACTGTGTAGTTGTTTACAGTGTACTGTTTAAAAACCAAACAAGAAACAAACAAGAAACAAAACAACATGATTTGTAGTTTCGGTCTGTAATGGTTTATGATCAATCTAGGGTCTTGGTCATGTTCTAATTTGATCTGCTGACCTCAGATTAGATCTGATCAGCTAGGGGCCATGCTCTTGTGATATCTAAGTGTTAGAGGTGTCTTTTGTTGGCATTATGTTTTTAATCCTGCAGACCTTGCTGAAGGAAATGCCCGCAATGCACGGAAACAGGAATAATAGTGCAATTATACATCGTAAACAAAACAAGATGACATTTACGTTAGTTAGCGATATCTGCTTTATGTCCACTTGTTCGATTTTAGACAACAGAATGGTGACTTTAATATTTTTATGTTGGTTCAAAGGAAGAATATTACATCAACATATCTAGAATATTAAAAATGGCTTTGATAAGATAAGGACTCAAATTTACTTTGCCATTACTTCTACACACATCTGTTGTGTGACTCCTTGTCTATGGTGACACTTATTTTTTTACAAAGTATATAGTCAGTAGTTGTTAAACCTTAGAAGAGAATTTTAGCATTAACATGAATACTGTTATCTGTCTGAACTTCTCTCATTCTGGTTAGCTCTAGAGGCAACTGAGTGGGAAGATCAGAGGTCAATAAGTTGTCTTTTGTATCTGTTAGACTCTGTGTGTGGTGGGAAGGGGGTTCCTCAGTTTCAGGCAGGGCTAACCAGAGACTGTTACTGTATCCATGTTGGCACTCAAATACCTGGAAGCCGATAGAGCCAGCAACCATACAGGCAATTTAGCTAAAAAACAAAGTTTAGTATGGCTTTACCAAACAAGAAACCAAATAAAACATAGCATTCTGAGCATTACTTTTAACTGTAAAATGAAGAAGACAGAAAGGCAACCCATGCTTTACATCTTTACTAACGAGATGAGCTGGTATTGCACTGCTGTAATGCAGTTTCATCAACAGTTAAGTGACAGCAACAAAGCCGGAATATCAATTTTCACCCTACCAACAGAATGTGGGCACAGCCATGTCACAATTGCTTTATTCCATTAGTCAGAAGAAGGGTGAGGCAGAGAAGGGTGTGATAGAGGACAGAGAAGACAAAATAAGGTCAGGAGGAGAGCAGGGTTGTAGTCTGAGGTGGAGTTTGGTTAGCCGCTGTGACACCGGTGGAAAATATTTCGTAGCCTACAGCTAGTGGGCTTTATGTAAGCAGAGAACTCTGGTGTCTGAACACAAGTTAGTATCAGTTCTTTGGCTTCATGGCAAAGAACCAGCAGTAAACCAGTGAATGTGTTACAGTGCTGTGAACAGCACAGTCACACATGTTTTCTAGACTGTCTTAGTGTCACACGACCCAGGGATGACACATGAGTTTTGAGGTTTTATCTCTCATATTCCATTCCCTCCCCCCCAGCTGAATATTTGTCAAGTTCAGTGACATGGTTGCTAATTAATACTATGTGCCCAGTAAATGTATGCTATTCTCTTCACCCCATGCTAAGTAATCGAAGAAGACTAGTCAATATTGTACAAGAGTTGGCAGAGTGGTTTGCATATTAGCCATAATTACATTCACATGAACATAATGTATTGGTTTACTGTCATGTGTAAGGTTAATGTGTATCACAATTAAATGATATATTAACTGGTGGATAGCTTTCCCAAAGACGTGCACTTTGTGGGGATAGGTTAATTGAAAAATCTAAATTGCCCATAGGTGTGAATGACAGTCTGTCTCTGTGTGCTAGCCCTGCGACAGACTGGCGACCTGTCCAGGGTGTACCCCGCCTCTTGCCCTATGACAGCTGGGATAGGCTCCAGCGCCCCCCGCGACCCTGAAAAGGATAAGCAGATGCGAATGGATGGATGGAACATAAAATATGTTTACTTCATTGTTTGCATTCGCTGTTTTACAAACAATTAAGGGGTGTTTTTCCATACAATATACAATATAGCAGTTCAGTGCTGATATAGCACGTTCGTTACCATAAAGCAGCTATTTCTCAATTTCCAGGCTACAAGATTTTAAGCTGCAAACACGCAATGTTCAGGGGAGTTGTTGTGTTGTACAGAAGCATCTGGAAAGTATCCAGCCTCTAACTCCTGCTGTGTATTTTCACAAATGCAAAAATGAATAATGCACAATGAATATCAGAAAACAATAATTATTTGCTTTTTTTAAGCTAAATTTTATTATGAT